CGGGTACGGGGGGAAAACAAGGCACCTGTGAAGTGAATTCGTGGGGAGGCGTGGGGTGGGGTGGGGGATTAGGCACACCACAGCTCTTGCATCATTGGGTAAGATGGGCGAGCTCCTTTCGCAGCGTGTTTAAACGCTAGGGCATCGTTTGGGTGTATTGCTATGGCTCGTCCACACCCACCACACCGCCCCGCGACCGCTACTGGCCCGCTACAGATCGACGTGGACACGGAGAACGGCGGCATGAAGTTAGACACGGACTGGATTGTGGATTTCGGCAAGGAGCCGGGCGGCCCGGTGCTGGCGCACGAGGTCCGGTACCCGGGAGGTGACTGCAGCAGCGACATCTGGATCTGACCTGATCTGGATCTGACCTGATCTAGATCTGATCTAGATCTGATCTGATCTGGATCTGATCTGGATCTGATCTGGATCTGATCTGGATCTGATCTGGGCTGACCTGGTCTGGAGAAATCTTGTTTCACCAACGGTGCATGGCGCCCCCGGCTTTTGACGGACCCGTTCGCGTTGGTACGGACACTGTAACTGTAATAACTGTAACTTTTGGGTGGAGACCGAAGCAGGCGTACCTGATTTGGGTCGGGCGAACCTGATCTGATAATGTCTGGCCTGATGTCCTTACGCGTGGTCTGAGTTTTGGGTCGCGGCTCTTAGGGCGGGCGGATTTGATTTGGCCTGAGTCAAGGGGCATGCGGCTTTCATCCCTGAGGAAACGCACCATCCAAGTGAGGCGGTGCGCTTCTGCGACAGTGGTTGCAATCAAGCGGGGATCGGTGAGAGGCTGGTGTTGCGGGTGCGGCGTGTTGGGCACGTGCTGGGCGTTTAATAGTTAGAACTGCGTACTGGAGTTTCTGCTGCTGCTCCGAAAGCCTGGGGGTACGGCAGCCATACGACAGTTTTTGTGAGCAGTTGATGCATGAGTCTTTCCTTTCATGGATTGATTTCGTTTCAAGTTTTCTTGGCTCGGTTCGTTTCTTCTGCCATAGACATCAAGCCCATCCCTAACAAGACTGCCACATATACATCTTATAATTTGATTTAACATACGCTGTACAGCAGTAAATTGTAAAACTTGGACCAAGCTCAAAAACGGTTTTAGAATCCAAATAGGGGGGTCCTTGTGAAGCAGCTGCCCGCGTTTCCAAAGCACGTATGGTGTTGGATTGTAAGGTGCCCAAGTACGTTTGCGAGGAAGAGAATGTGGCCAGGCTGGAGAGGAAAGTGCAGTGGCATATTGGAATGTGAGATTAGCGTAAGCGAGTTACAGGGCGTTTTATTGCACGGGCGAATTTACGTGCAAATCTTTCACCGTAGCATCAGTCCTCAGTTCACTTCTTGGAACGAACATCAGCATAGGTGCAAGCCCTCTCGCTTGGAGGGATATGCAAACAAACATCCTGATAGGGGTAAACTCGCACGCTACCGAGCATTCAACCGAGCACATGCATGCTTAGTTGAATGGTGAGATGCGACCCCCCCTTCATTTCGTGCTCGGCAAGCCTGCCACCGCGTACCGGATATGTTGGCGATGTTACAGAACGCTGCACCTTGGTTTCTGTGCGCATTGCGTACGTTGCTCGACCCCACCGACCAAAACTACACGTGCCCAACTGAAGACATTCCCGGTGGTTGTGCAGCAGCTCTTGAGGCTGTTGCTGGCTGAAATCCATCCTTAGCTGTTGCAACACGGCTAACGCGGGCACGTCCCTATGCACAGCAAATAGCTGTTCCAAGCCAACAGCGGCGTCCATGCCACCGACAAGGCTCTAAACGTCTTATCTGTTCTTATGTTTAATTAAGTTTATGTATGTTATACTTTGCGCAACTTTGTAATTTGACTTTACTCTGAACAAGGTGCTGCATACAACTGCCTCTTCGCCAGCGCTTCATCTTCCGCGGCAGTTTCACGGGCCCAGAGTTGCAAGCTACGACGTTGGCTTTCGGTGCTTTTATTTACTGCAAAGCATCGACGCAATAGTCCAGCGTGCGGCTATGGCCAACATGCTCACCTGCGCAACGCGCTGGCGCACCTGGTCCTCATCCGCCAAGAAATTTTATATACATTTGTACAGGCGCATTTTGCGAATCGCACGCGCGCATCTGCGCGGCAAAATTCGCTCCTGACTTTGGGGACGAGATGTACGGAGTCTCTATTCGCGAAGTACGACCGGACACATTTGTGCGAGGGGCTGCTTAATGATTGTCATTTCACCCCAAGGTGAGATGACGATCATCCCTAACTTACACGACTCGGCCCACAAGTAGTCTTAAGAGCTATTAGGTAACTGGCCGGTAGGGTAACCGACATAACGAGCTAACGACCCAGTAACTGGGGTTCACCGACCGTTAAGGTTACCGGTCGGTCGGTTATCGGGTTACCCTACCGAAGCGACCGGTTGGGTTTTAATAGCTAACCGGTCGGTTACCGGCTACGTGCGTGTACGCTGCGGCGCCCGCTGCTTCTACTAGCGATGCTTTGATTGCTGTGCGGCCGCAGCGGTTTTCTCGCTCTTTCCTTGGAATTCCACAAGGAATACAGTTACTGCTGCATTTACAGTTACACAGTGTCCGCACAGGTACGTGCGTGTGTTGGGGGGGTCCATCAAAGCCGGGGGACCCCCATGGACCGTTTATAAAAGCTAATGTTGCGGTGTCGGTGGGGCGGCTGTCGTCGTCCTCCCGAAGCGCCGTTTAGCGCTGCGTGCCTAGTCTGCCAGACCTCGGAAAGAAAGCTATAATAAAGCTATAATGCCAGCGGGGGAGCCTCCGTCATATGATGGTGCGCATGCTGCGCCCCTTGAAACCCATCAGTTCACTCCCATACTTAGCCCTCAAGCCATCATAAGCAGGCATTCTCCAAACATATGCCAAATTCATCTTCCACCGCTCGGCAGCCACAAAGCCTGCAGGTACGGGCAGCACGCTCAGCGTCGTGGGGCCTCTTAACCTCTCGAGCTCCCAACAGCCCGACCTAAAGCGCATGAGGACCTGGTGCAATCGCTGGGGGAGGGGGGTCTCCTTGTGCGCGAGTCACCCAGGGTGCGGTGCCCCCTCACAGAGCGGTGGCCCCATACAACTATGGTAGCGACATTCGCCGCGACCTCGGTGACCCCCGGGGGGTGGGGACCCCCCTGCAAGGTGATCTCACACGTCCTTGGAATGATAGCCACGATGAGGCTGAGCTCCGCGACTCCAGCCAGTCCATGCCAACTGCTCCAGCAATTCCTTCACGAACACAAACATGTTCAAGAGCGACAATACGCAGCGCGCGACATGGCACATCCCCACGTGGCGAACTCGTTTTCCAGTTCCAGCCGGGCGGCAAAAGCAGTTGTAGCCAAGCCATGAGGGTGCGCCTCAGGAGTGAGCGGGACAGACCCATGGGTCAGAACTCCTCTACCATCGTACCATCGTCATCCACCGTCGATGTCGTCCCCGTCCCGGTCCCAAAGCCACCACCACCGCCACCGCCGGCGCTGATGCTCATCCCCATACCCATGCCGCTGCCTGGCAACCCAGACGCCATGCCGCCGAACCCCAGAGACCCGCCGCCGCCTGTGCCGTACCCAAACATGCCGCCGCCTGCTCCAACCGCCCCGCCGCCGAACCCTGTACCGTAACCGTCACCCCCGGGGTGTGGTTGCGGCCGCGGCGGCTGCGTCATTGGCCCCATCCCTTCAAAGTCATCAAAGGCGGCCCCCAGCGCAGCATCCGTGTCCATGCTCTGTCCGCCGCCGCCAGCGCTGACGTCCCCCTCTTCCTCTTCACTTTCGGTGCTGTCGTCGGCGTCCAGCATAAGGTCCGGACCCGCTACCACCGCCGCCGCCGCCGCCGCCGGGCCCCCCATCGTTGTACCAGCGACGGCGTCGTACGGCGCGCTGGTGTACGGCAGGATAGCCGTCGCCATTGGCAAGCCTGCAGAGATATGCCCTAACGGCGCTAGGAGGCCTCCCGCCACGGTGGCGGCCGGAGCTGCCGCTGCTGTAGCAGTCGGCGCGCCTGGGACGAGGGTTGCCAAGGCGCCGCCAGGTGTGACGCCCGGGAACATGAAGGACATTTCCTGACCAACACCAACAGTTCCCAGCAGTGCTCCCCCCAGGCCGCCGCCGCCGCCGCTGTCTGCGTGAGGTGCACCGCCAGCGCCAGCAATAGCAGCTGCCGCCGCCTTGCGCTGTGCGCTGCCAACATGGGCCACGAGAAGCTCGTCCGGATCCGGTTGCCGTACAGGTTCCAAACCGACGAAGCACTCCTCGTAGTCCTCAGGCAGCTGGCTGATCCGTAGTCTACTGCCGTACACCCGAGCCAAGCTGCTGGGACCTATATTACCGCCGCCGCCGCTGCCGCCGCGATGGCCGTTGCCGCCGGGCCCCCGGCAGCGGCGCGCGAGATGGCATCCGAGTTGCTCTGGGGCCGCTGGGCTTTGCGTGCCGGGTGGGGAGACGATCGCGATGCGCTTTGTGAAGATGGCGGTGGGGGCTGCAGCGGTGGATCGTAGTCGCTGCGAAGCCGGTACCGCTAGCGCGGCGTCTGCCTCTTCCTCTGCGCGCCGCTTCGCGTTGCTTTGGCGTAACTTGAGCACCACGGTAGCTTGACCTCTGGGCCCGGCGGTAGCGGCTGTGGTGGCTCGGGGTGCGGTCGCTTGGCTGCCGGCCAACGCGCCGTTTGTCCTGGATGCGCGACAAACATGAGCGGACCTAGAATGCATCGCTCTTGCCGATTTGTGAACAAGAGACTCTTAAGAAGTGATGGGTAGAAGCTTTTAGGAGCAAGTAAGCGAGATGCTGGGGTCGGCACTTGGTGGGGTAAATGCAGCCCAGCCCAAGGCTCGGCAGCGTGACGTTGCCATGAACCCACAAAAGCAAAGCTGATAGCGTACTAGGTGAATTGAGACTAAACCTGTGGCACCGGTTGCTCAGCGGGGCGAACCTGCTTCCGGCTAAGGGCTGCTTCCGACGGGCGCTTGCGCGGAGCTCCGCCAAAGCAAGCAGCTGTGCAAACGTGAACGCCGCCGCCGCTTTTTTCTGTCGTGAGGAGAGTGGTGGTCCTATATCAAGCCCAAGCGGTCCTGAAAGAAATGCAGAATCGCCTGCCTGTGTTGACGACATCCAATACCCATGCAAACCAGGACGTCTAAAGGTTTCTTACAGCTTTGCAGCCAAAATGAGCAATGTTTCCACTTAGCGATACATCAACACTGTCATGTATTGCAACGGTACGTCTTGCCAACGGTATCGCATGAACGGACCTGTACGAAAATAACATTCGGCTGGATTACAAACGGAGCCTATCAAAGCAGGTCCATGACACTTCAGTTGCCAAATGATCATTTTTCTGTTCACTTCTTTGCACTGTGACCTATAGGCCACGACCAAGTCAAGACCAATTCAGTGTTTAGGTTTGGGCGTCGATGCGACGTTGGCATTTCTCCTCGTGAAAACAGTTACTCCCTTAAGAACCTCCAGATAAAAATTATAAGAATCTTAATTACAAAATAGGAGTGCCACAGTTCAGCGCAAGTGCCACCATGGTGGCGCCGGCCTTTCCCGGGAAGGTTGAACAGAACAGGTGACGGGGCTGGGTTATACCATAGGCAATTAACTGCTCGGATGAGTAGCTGAAACACGGGATGCTTAACCGCTTCCCGGGTCGCCCAGCCTGTGAGATGGGCCTCCGTGCCTTATGGAATACGTGCATGGGAATACGGAGGGAAGGTCAACTACAGGTTGTCAAGACGCCTGGGATCCGTGTCGTGGTACCGAACCGGGACTGAAGGACATAAAGAGCATCATCGAACGCACGACACGACGCAACTAATATGGCCTACTCTCCCCCCTTTCTTGTTTGGCTGAGGCCCCCCTCTCCCACACACACAAACGCTCCAACCCAGTTGGCAAAGTAAATCTCCCTAACCGAAAACCCCACCCACCAGTTCCTGTCCGGTATCATATTGTTCGGCTGTCGTCGTCCCCTGAACTCCCCGAAAAACATCTGACCACGCAGGGCGGGTCAGACGGCAGTGGACGCTATGGCTGCCCTGCCCGGGGGAGGCGGCGGCGGCGGCAGCGCGGCGGCCACGGCCTCCGCCTCCTCCGGCCCTGCGTTCATGAGCACGGATGAGGCGCGCGTGCGGGCGATTGCTGAGCTGGTCTCTGCGCTGGTCTCCGGAGTCCGAGATGGCCGCGACGTTGACCTGAACCAGCTGAAGTGCGAGGTGAGCGGGTGGGTGGGTGGGTGGGTGAAGCGCGTGTAGTTGGGTAAATAGGTGGGTGGGTAATGGTACTGGGTGGGCCTATGGGTGGGATTGTTGTTGTGGCAGGTGCGGGTGTGTGGGGGGTTTTTAGGAACCTTCCCCCCCACCCGGGGCTTAGCTGTGCCGGGCCATACCACTCTCCATCACAGGCCGGGGGCCCCCCTCCATCGCCTCCTTCTGCGGCCCATGGTGCGTCAAAAGGGTTCGATTCAGTTCGACTCGGCCTTACGTGCACTTTACGTGCAGGTAATGCCCCCACCCTCTTCATCCGCACCTTAACCCTTGCAACCTGCCCGTCACCTCCGTCACGGAAATCGCTACGGGACCCAGTTTGGTTTTTACATTGTGCATGTATACGTTTGTGCTGCTCCTCGCCCCCCCCCTTCCCAGCAGCTTCACTCCTCGTGGTTCATCTTTCCCCCCTTCCCAACCTGACCGCCGCTGTTATCATGTGTGTGTCCACAGATCAGTCGGCGTTACCGCCTCGCCCGTTCGCCCAAGCTGGTGGAGATCATTGCGGCGCTACCCGAGGTACGTGCGTCTGTCAGTCCGTCCGTCAGTCTGCCTGTTTGCCGGTCTGTCTGTCTGGCCTGTTTTTCTGTCTGCCTGCCTAGTACCAAGTGAGGAAGTGAGTGAGTGAAGGAAGGATGGGTGGATGGGAGCAGGAAAGAGCTCCCCCCTTTGGGCAGCTCGTATCGTCACTTGCTACCACCCCTTTGTGGCCCCGCTTCCCCTCCTACCCGTGCTCCTGCCCGCGCTCCTGCCCCTGCTCCTGCCCGTGCTCTTCCTGGTGGCCATCATGGCCCCCGTCATGGCTCCGCACCCGGCGAATGGCAACAGGAGCACCGGGCGGCCCTGCTGCCGAGGCTGAGAGCCAAACCCGTACGTACGGCATCAGGTGAGTGTACGGCTGGCTCATGGCTCTGGTTAAGGGTGGCGGCCCTTCCGCGAATGTGGGTATGTACGTGCGCCCCTGAGAGATGCACACGAGCGGATAGGTGGACGGACGGGCTGACTGAAAATGACTGCATATGACTGATCGACCCGCGGGTCTGTCTGCGTTTGTGCATGTGTGTGATGTAATGTAATGTAATGTAATGTATTCAGGTATTGCGGTGGTGGCGGTGATGTCCAAGCCGCACCGCTGTCCCCACATCGCCACCACGGGCAACATTTGCATCTACTGCCCGGGAGGTAAAGAGAGGGAGGGAGAGAGGGGGGGATAGGGGAAAGGGAGGGAAGGATTAGGGGGATAGGGGGGAGGGAGGGAGGGAGGGAAGGATAGGAGGGAGGGAGGGAGGGGGGTCAACACCACCGACTTCCCAATGCTGCACGAGTAGAGGGAGTAGGAAGTTATGAATGCTTCATGTTGTATGTCTTGTAGATGGACGTTCCAATGGATGAATGGGGAATGAATGGCAGCCGGGGTGAGGTCTGGAGTTAGGCAGAGCCGGTGGGTGAAGAAGAGAACAGCGGCTCGATGTCCTTGACGAGAGCAGGAAAGTCTAATTGTACGACATGTGTACGGCGCTGTACTACCTGCTCTTGGCCGACCGGCGCAGGTCCCGACAGTGACTTTGAATACTCAACTCAGAGCTACACGGGGTATGAGCCGACATCCATGCGCGCGATTCGGGCGCGGTACGACCCGTACGTGCAGGTATGTACGGTTCCGTACACGCTAGGGCCGATAGGCCATCTGATGCTGTTATAGCCCAAGCCCTATATGGCGGCACCCGATGTGCGCTGGTGATGTGGTATATGAGTCCATCAGCGTTGTCGTACTATGGCAGAATGGCACTCGGCCCACTTGGGTTTTGACACGTTTCCGTAACCCCTTCCGTAAAATTCCTTCCCACCCGGTGTCGTACATATCGCCGTCGGCATTAGTTAGCAAACACTCGCCACTGCCTTCCTTAGCCACCGCAACCATCACCTTCTGTCTGACACCGTCAGAAATTCCTATATACCTGCACATACCCGCACATACCTGCACAGCCCACGATCTAAACCATCTGTAAAATGCTGCCGTACAGTCTTCTGGCACAACCGACTAACCCACACGCGCGCTCCCTCAGGCTCGCGGACGCGTCGACCAGCTGCGCAAGCTGGGGCATGTCGTGGACAAGGTACGGTAACGGTAACGGTTGGTGGTTTACAGTTGCTTGTAAGTTCATGAGGACTGCTAAAGCTGTGGGCGCCTCTCAGCCGCTAACGGTTAGCTCAGTTGTGGTTCCGGTAGTTCGTTGGTTGGGGGGTGTCGGTGAGGGTGCCCCAACCGGCGTGCGACTTGTGGCGTGTGGTTCTGGGTTGCCGCACTCATCTATATCGGTATGCATGTATGTATGTATGTATGTATGTATGTATGTATGTATGTATGTGTTTGTTTTGCTCGCTGCGTCGCTCGCGTCTTTGCACCACTTGCTGTCTTCATGCGCCCGAGGAAAGGGCCGCGGGCAGCCGCCAATAGCCGCTGGGGAGCCGCAGGGAGAACATCCCCTCACTCTCCCTCTCACACCCCTCCACTCACACTCCCTCTCCCAAGGCCTAACAGGCGCACCTAGACGCGTAGGCCACATCTTTGCATTAGTACTCGCATCTGTGTGTGTTTGTGTTTGTGTGTGTGTGTGTGTGCCCTCACGCACTGCCACACCCCTCGCCCGTCCCTAACCCTCTTCCCTTCCGTCCTCCCCCGTGCCCGGCCGCCTCCGACCGCTGCGGCAGGTGGAGTACATTCTGATGGGCGGGACGTTCATGTCGCTACCCGCCGACTACCGGGACTACTTCATTCGCAATCTGCATGATGCGCTGTCCGGACACGCAAGCAGCTGTGTGCACGAGGCGAGGAGAGGGGGACAACCCGGGGGGGAGGGAGAGGGGGAGAGGGAGTGAGTGTTTACAAGGGAATAGGATAGGGAAAGGGGTGGGGAGGGAAGGGGGGAAAGCCGAACCACAAACGGGAAAGGGGGCGGGAGGAGTGGGAGGGAGGAGTGGGAGGGAGGAGTGGGAGTTAAGGGGAGAAGGGAGGCTGCTGCAACTGCCGCCGTCGTCGTCTGTGGCTTTCTTTGCCTACAGGTACCCGGCTCTTCCCAGATTGCAACGATGGGTACGAAAGGCCAACTGTGTGACGTTATGCCGTACGCAGGCCGTACGCTACAGTGAGGAGAGCCGTACCAAGTGCATCGGCCTCACCATTGAGACGCGGCCAGACTACTGCGCCCGGAGTCACCTGACGGACATGTTGTCGTACGGTTGTACGAGACTTGAAATCGGGCTGCAGTCCATTTACGAGGACGTGGCCCGGGACACTAACCGGTGGGCGCGTGTGTGTGTATGTGTGTCTGTCTGTGTGTATGTGTGTATGCGTGTGTGAGGGGGCGGGGCTGATGTGCGTGGCGGGTTTTGGGGCGGTGTTGGATATACCGGGAGTTGGAATGGAAGGAGGAGGAGGCTCCGATACACACTTGACACCTACCCATACTCTCCCCTTTTCCCCGTGCGCTCTCATTCCCGCCTTCTTCCCCGGGCGGCTTCTCATCCCCCCCCGCACCGCCTGGTACACTCTTGCCCTGGCAGCACCTTCACTCGTTCGTGGTTCGTCTTTCCCCCCTGCACCGCTCTCTCCCCCCCTCTTCTCCTCTTTCCGGCCTGCCCTTTGTCACCCCTTCCCCTCCCCCCCCTCCCCCCCCTCCCCCCGGGTCCCCTTAGGGGCCACACGGTGGAAGCGGTGAAGCAGTGTTTCGTGGGAGCAAAGGATGCCGGATTCAAGGTGGGTGGGCGGCGGACGTTCTGGCGGCCTGGGCGTAGGTTGGGAAACATCTGCATGGAGTGGGCTGTGCTGTCGTGAATGGAGTCAAAGGGATGGATTGCGAGGAGAAGGGTGTATGTATGTATGTGAGTGAGTGATGTAACGGAGTACTGAGCCGCGCGAGGGGCTGGGGAGACACCCGAGTAAAGTTACCAAAAGGGGTCGTCTCCAGCGTGTGTGTGTGTGTGTGTGTGTGTGTGTGTGTGTGTGTGCTGTTCCCCTTGGCGCACAACGCCCAACTAACTTTGTAACCGCCACGGACCAGGTGGTGGTGCACATGATGCCCGACCTGCCCGGAGTGGGCTGGGAGCGGGACATCGAGTGCTTCCGGGAGTTCTTCGAAAACCCGGATTTCCGTACAGACGGCCTCAAGCTCTATCCCACGCTTGTCATCCGAGGTAGGTACGCCACCATTGACCCAGCGGTCGTACGGTACGGCACGGCCGTTGCTGCTTCCAAGATGTCGATTAGGCTCGGATTGGAATTGCTATACGTATTCAGATGTATGCCTGTTTTGCTTTAGATGTATACGACACTGTACGGCAGGTACGGGATTGTACGAGCTGTGGAAGCGGGGGCTGTACCGCAACTACGCTCCTGACAAGCTGGTCGACCTGGTGGCTCGAGTGTTGGCCCTTGTGCCGCCCTGGGTGAGTGCCAGTCCCGCTGGGGTGGGAGGAGGAGGGGTGGGCAGGGGAAGGAGGGGTCGGAGAGGGTGTGTGTGTGTGTATGGGGGGGGAAGAGGAAATCAGTAGGTCTGTATGTGCGTGTGTGTGTGTTTCTCCGGGATGGTGCGGGATGGTGTGATGGGGTCCGCTGTTGGCTGGCAGGCGTTACACCGGCCCAGATACACAGAGCTGCGCCCTCCCTTCCGTACCTTTCGTCGTACAGGTCCGTGTTTATCGTATTCAGCGGGATATCCCCATGCCTCTGGTGACCGCCGGCGTCGAGAAGGGCAATCTGCGGGAGGTAGCCCTCGCCAGGATGGCGGCGCTGGGCCTGAGGTGCAGGTGCGTGTGCGTGTATGTATGTGTGTCTGTCGGGGGGAATGTGTGTGTGTGTGTTTGAGGGGTACAACCTGCCGCTAGGAGGTGGGGGAGTGCCCGGGGGGGCCGACATGGGGGTTAGGGGGGTGTGCGGGAGGGAGGGAAGGGCAGGGTGATGTATGGTAGGCGGGCGCGCGCGGCGGCAAGTTAGACCAGTTAGTCCATGTCGGTATTGCGCTTCAATGGCGCGTCCTTCTGTGTCGGGGCGCGATGGCGCCGTAGGGTTAGTGGTGGCGGTGGCGGTGGGGTGGGGGGTGGGGGGGGTTGGGGGTTGGGGGGTTCCAGGTCTTTGAAGTGTTCCAGGGCTTAGCTGGCAAGTTGTCCTTGGCTGGGGCCAGACTCCTCGAGGTCGGTGTGCGAATGAATTACATAACATATATAATATACATTATGTGTACGTATATACAACATTATACACAACATTAATTACAACATTATATACAACATTATGTATAACATTATATACATACGTACTTGCATGCATGCATATATATATGTTTATGTGCGTGTTTTCTTATCTTTTCCCACGTCTCTGCCATCGTCCATAACTGCCCTTTGCGCGTGTATAGAGAAATGCCATCGCGCATCATACGTGTCTATATGTATGTTCATACGTATGTATGCACGCACACTTGCAGGGATGTTCGTACACGGGAGGTAGGTATTCAGGAGATTCACGGCGGGTCCGCTGTACGACCAGATCAGGTGGAGCTGTTGCGGCGGGATTACGCGGCCAACGGCGGCTGGGAGACCTTCCTGGCTTATGAGGACCCGCGCCAGGTGGGAGGGAGAGTTTGTGGAGGGAGGCAGGGAGGTGGGAGGGAGGGAGGGAGGGAGGTGAGGTTCTTTTTCATCGTCCTTCCCTCCTTCAGGTTGGGTGGGGGGTTGGGTAGGTGGGGCTACGTCGCGATGTGTTTCGTGTCTTTGCTCGTCCTCTTGCGAGTGCTACCGGGCCCCCTCCGCCTGTCTAGGAGACATGACTGGCTGTCTGACTGCCTGGCTGGCATTTTGGGCAGATCTGGCCCCACCATCTGCGATCTCTCTTTCTCGACTCCTCTTCTTTGATGCCTCGCGCTCTTCCTCGCGGCCTCTCTGAGCGGCCCACACCCCGGCCCGCATCCCCCTCCCCGCCCTGGAACTGCCAGGATATTCTGGTGGGCCTCCTGCGGCTTCGTAAGCTGGCAGGCGAGTGACTCCGGGAAGAGAGGAAGGGAGGAGGAGGAGGAGAGGGGGGGAGAGGGCCCCCGCTGGTGGAGCTGGGCGCGGGAGATGATTGATGTTTTACATCAGTCTGAAGGAGCTTTTGCTTGCCGTTGTGTTTGCTGAATAGCAGTCAGGGATGGGGGGTAGGACGTGTGAGTGGTGGTTTCAATTCGCGGCCACACACACACACACACACACGTGGCAACGCACATTCGTCATTTGGCAACCCAACTCCATGCGGACACCCCCCCCTATCGCCTCACCCCATCTTCCCCTCCCTCGTCCCCTCGTCCCTCCCGCCGTCGCTGACCTCAACAATCCCGCAGGACCGGACTCCTCCCGACAGCCCGAGCTGCTAGGCCGCGTATCAATGGTACGGGAGCTGCACGTGTACGGCACAGCCGTTGCCGTACATGCACGCGACACGGCGAACTTTCAGCACCAGGTTCGTAGCGTTTGTTCTGACTCTCTTGGCGGGGTTGGAACTGGAGCAAGTGCATATGTTATCTCTTTCTTCTCTTTTGGAGGGGAAGGTTTCTTCTCATGTAAAAAACTCGTTGCTTCGTTGACACCGCGAAATGCAGCGCTAATGAACGCGGGGGATTTCTTGAGGTCCATGAGATAATATGTAAAATAATTACCCGGGAAGATCCAAAATGCAAAGGCGCTTCCATTCTACCCGAAACGATTTTTGCAAAAGGTAAACAGTCCTTTTTGGAGTAGTCTAGTGTCCGATTCGATATATTCAGTGTTTTTTTTTTCGTGGAGGCCGATCCTGAATCTGTTACGAGTTCCGTAATAAATATGCCATCAGTCCAATACATTTATTACTGCCAGAATTTTTTTTCTGGGGGGGCAAGCCCCCCTAGACCCCCCCTGCCCACACAGGGTACCTGATACACCAGCACATATTTAATAAATATTTCATTCGAGTGCGGGAGGCGCCCTGTCATCTGGTTCTAATGTCTCTCTTGTACTCGCTATATCGTTTGAAGTGTTACCAGCATCGCCGCTACTGGGGTTTGGCCTGCCGGTGGTCAGGAATGCTTTGACGCTACCCTGACCAGCTATAGTAGTTAATTTCTTGGGCCCCATCGCTCATTTATAACTTATTTATACTAAAATAGAACGAAGGCCCCCAGAGACGTCTTCTGGGGCCCGCCCCAGCTCCGTAACGACCGTACCAGGCCTTTACCATGGTCTATGACGGAGCGCAGAACGCAAATATGCCATTTTATTACGGAACCGTAATATATTACGGAAAAAAAATACACTGGATATTCCATATTTCTGACCGCGTTTTGAGCATTTTTTGTTCCGAAGGAAGTAGCCCGCTTCGCATGTCCTTTTCATGCAATCATATGTGGATGTCATACTCGCCGTACTCCCACTTATGTGTACATACGTACGTACATGCGTACACCGTGCGTGCAGGGCTATGGCAGTCTGCTGATGGCGGAGGCGGAGCGCATAGCCCGCTTCGAGCACCTCTCCACCAAGATTGCCGTCATTAGCGGAGTGGGTACCCGCCACTACTACCGCAAACTGGGCTACGAGCTGGAAGGGCATTACATGGTCAAGCACCTGCACCCTCCGGCGCCGGCGCCCATGCAGGCGCCGGCGGCGGCCATGGCTGCTGCTGTCGCCGATGTCACCGGCGGAAAGAAGGGTGCGGCCGCGGGGGTTCCGCAGCCTGTGAACAGGCGGCGGCGCACAATGGCAAGGGGTACGGCACATGGGATGGCGGCGGTCGCCAAAGCGGGCTCGGGTGCGGGGTTGGTGTGACTGCGACTGTGACTGGCATAGCATCTGTTGCTTCCACCTTCACTGCGGGTGTTGACGGTTTCTCGTTTAAATGGGGCGGCATTTCGGCGTGGAGTACGGCAACGGTGATGACGTCAGCAGCCGTCAGTTGCTCGGTTATCTTAACCTGATCTTCAGGGGACTTCGAGATGAGGGGAGCTCAAAAGGGACGGGGAATCCTGGACGGTAGCGGACTGATTGTCCAGAGGAGTGCTGGCGGCGGTGGTGGTGCTTCGGTTGAGTCCAACGCCTTATTGAGCATGTCATCGCAGCATGGATGGTCAGGTTGGGTTGGATGCATGCCACCGCAAGGCCTGCTGTCCGACGCTGCCGTACATCGATGTTACTGTTCCTTATCAGCCGTTATCCACTGAGCTCCGTGTGGGGTTTAAGGTTCCCGCAGGGGAGCTCTCTGGCAACCCGAAAGCGCGGATGGGTTCCAGCTCAGGATGGGTGTTCAGTGCCTTATGCGCCGCGGTTTCACCGGATTAATCAATGTAATGCGTGTATGCCGGTAGCGGTGTGTGTGCTTGTGTGGATCCTGGACGCTGCTGGCTGGCTTGGGATGGCTGGTCGATGGCAAGGGGTCCTACCGTGCTCCTCGACTCCTCCACATGTGTGTCCGTTGGGTATGGGCCGCTGCCGCATGTGCACCTCGTTTTACACTTTTCCTTGCACACCTCTCTCGCTGGGTCCCCCCCGCTTACCCTCGTTCTTTCTCTCTTCACCACCAAACCGTAGATCACACATACACGCAACACGCACGCAAGGCGCGCAGCAAAGGTTGGTTCGCCTCCAGGACTACGTGCGCTCTGTACCGACAGCGCAGCACCTGAAGGACACAGCTTTGCATGCGCCTCACGGCATATAGTCTAGCGCACCCAGTCCACATACATCACAAACCTCATTGCGCACTCATCCACATCGCGTCCCTGGCTCCCACTCACCTCCTCTCTTCCCCACACACCAAAACGCCCGCATGCACAAACAAGCTTTGGAATCCGTGCAGGGCGTCATTGAGGAAAAGAGGGGTGAAGAAAGGCGGGATGAAAGCAGGTTGGTAGCTTCCGGGAACTGCACCAGTCGCGCAGATGCTACAAACGACTTTGCATGCTTCAAACCGCCGTGTGCCGCACCGGCTCCGGCTCCCCATCCCAGGGATGTCATTGACCTCCAAACGGCTGCCAGGAGTTTGATGAAGAGGATGGCGATAGTGACATGGGCGGTAACATGCACCATCCCCCATGTCAACAAATGGCCGCCATAGGCCGCCATAGCCTTAAAAGCCCTCAGCATAATTAAATCATGAAATGTAAGGTGCTCCAGGTTCCACATCAACACCACTATGGCCCCGGGCTGCCCACACGTCCATATGCTCTTATTAACATCACACACTCGTTGACAGCATGTCCACTCCCCACGACAGCACTGTGCACATACGTTTTTAGAGGTTCTACTGACCAATAGGCGAAAAGGAACAAACCGGCACACCGCCACACACAGGTGGAACAGCCGCAACCACCTCTTTTATGCAATCGTGTAATAAGCGTGTAATCAGCAAAACTAATGTTGGGAACTCCGAAACGTGTACAGCATTCCCTATAAAGAAGACCCTTTCGTTGTCCGCGAGGCGAAACCCCTAACCAAACCATATATCAAACCAAACCAAGCCAAACCAAACCATGGCACAGCCGGACCCTCAAGCAACGCAGCCTCTGTAACATTGCTTCGTCAATAGAGTCCAGTACCAGTTCCAGATCGTGAGGAATGTCGGCATCGGCAGAGTGCCGGCAACAGACGTATTTGTTGGTTGGCACTCACTGCCAAACGAATGGGCGCTGCCCCAGGACTGCGCGGTTGGGCAGGGCAGCCGCCCTTGGGCGACCCGACATACAGCCTGACATACCAAAGCAAACGAACCACCATCATTCACTAAGCAAAGCAAAGCAACGTACACTGTATACAAGACAGCCCGTATCCGCGGAATGGACCTGACCCCATCCATGACCCCCTTTTTCCTCTTTCCAACCTTCGTCGTCGTCCCTGGTTCCAAGCAGTCCTCCTCTGAATGAAAACCATAGGACGGCATGGACAGGCAGCCATCCTGCGGCGTTGTCAGATCGCCGCCGAGGTTGGAGAGAGGCACTGTGCAAACCATATCCACAGCCCCCTTCGCTGTGACACGATCGTGCACGTGCACTTAACAAATAGAGAGATTTGTTATCTCTTGTAACGACTAAAACCCTTTGGAACCAAAAAGCTATGAGACACGCAGACCGACACATATAGCGAGAGAAGCACGTTGCACTATGTATGTTGCAAACCCGCAATGACCTAAGCGAATTTCCCAACCGCGCCACTGCCGGTGCATACACACAGACATACACACATGCATACACCACAGAAAGGTATACAGAAAGGCAAACGTGAGCGCGAACATTGCGAGGCCGTACAGAGGCTGTGGAGAGGGGCTCTAGCGGCTGGATTGGCCCCTCGGACCTCCCAAACCCTACAAAGCGGAGGTTGTTGCCACATAGCACGAGACAGTGGGCCAGAGCTGGTGGGTGTGTTATGCCGCGATAAGCGGAAATCCTTGTCCCGGTAGTATCATATGCCTGTACCGGTAGTACGGAAGCTGAAATGCGAAAGCTCTGCTTGCTCCTCATGCAGATGGATACCTCCTACAGCTCCTGCGGTGCATCCGTGCCATCCCGGGCAGTGTTGCCTTCAAGCAGGCCGTTGGAGCGCGTGAGGCAACCGTCAAGAGGCCTTTAGACGCCCATATCCATATGATCCGAATCCGCATGCTCATTCCACTGCGGTGCTGCGACACCACTGTGCTCTCCGTCAACGACCTCGCCCGCCGCTGCAGCCGCAGCGACAGTAGCCGTCCCTGTCGTCGTTGCGACCGCTGCACGCGATACCACAACCGCCGCTGCAGCTGCTTCCGACGCATGCTGGTTGACGACAACACCGCTGCCACCGCAGCCAACAGATGGCGGCATGGGCAATGGCACCGGCGGCGGCACTGGCGGCGGCGGACAGGATCCGCTGCCTTCCCTGGAGTTCGCCCCCTCAGCGGCTTCCCACCGAACTGCATTGTGTTCCGAAAATGCCTGTGTGCCATTGTAGTGACCTCCGCCATCATTCGCGCCTGTGCCGTACGGATCGTGGAACATTCCCGCCTTGGCAGCGGCCACCTCGGGCCCCGCCCTCGTGGCCCGGCCGACGCTGCCCAGAGGAGATGCCAAAAAAGCGGCCATGGCGGCGACGGTGGCCTGCCCCGGGATGCTGCCGCCGGCACCGGCTGCGTCGGGGCCGCCCTCGCCGGCGAGGCTTCCGCTCCCGCCTGGCCTGTTGCTGTCGCTTGCGCCACTCCCGCCGCTGTTCTGGCGGTTCGCGTCGCTCGCTGCCGCATCCACCGCCGCCGCCGCAGCTGTGCCGCAACCGCTGGCACCCCCACCGCCGCTGCTGCTGCTGAGCGCCGCAGCGGCGGCGGCCGCCGCCGCTGCAGCATAGGCCATGTGCCGCGCCTTGGCAACTTGGAGTACAAGCCTGAACCACCAGAGTGGGGTCGTCACAAAAAGTCACATGCGCGAATCAGAGAGCTTAATTATTGCAGCACACTGGTTTTGGGGGTGTGGACAAAGAACATGAAGCCGTTAGTGTGGCGCAGCAGAGCATGGCTAAGGAAAGGCACAAGGAGGCGATACAGGCGGGCCCCAAAAGCTGAAGGTCCTTTCTTGCCGCCCTCGTAATACACGGGAAATAGATAGTGATGTAGAGCTCCATCCAAAGTCACCCAAACCCCATTGCTCCCTGCCCGGCCTCACCTCGCCCCGTCCGCCGGGCTATCCGCGCTGTTCACTATCTGCTCCACAGTACCCCACAGACGGTCCTCTATCGACTTAGCATACAGCTCCGCCTCAGGGCTGAACGCCAGCATCAGCCGTTGCTGCTGCGGGGCCGGGGGCGGGGGGGACGAACCCACAAGGCCCGGAGCCCCGAGCTCCCCGTCGGGGACCCCCGGCGCCGCGGCAAGGTCGCCGCTGCCATCCGCGATGGCGACCGACCCATGGGCCGGAACCTGTGCGCCCGCTCCCTGATGGTGGATCGCCCGTACGCCCAGCGCCGCTGCATCAGGCCAGTCCAGGGGCGGTTGGCGGTTGCAGGGATTGAGGTTGTTGTTGTTGTTGTTGTTGTTGCAGTTGTTGACCGGGAGATTTGACGGTACTGGAGGCGGCGACTGGGACAGGGACAGTGGGCAGCCTTGCCCCAAGCAGGCGCCTTCGCCTGCGCCCTCACCCAAAGCCGCGCCTCCACCCGTATCCTGGCCCAGCGCTGCAACGTGTGTGTGGGTGAAATGGGGTGGACACGATAGCGGATAGGAGGAGTGTACGGCCTTGCACTTCAGCCCCGCCGATGGCCGTGATAGCAGCCAACGAATGGGACCCCCCACCCCCTTACCGAGGGCAGCGACCGCGGGCTACCTGGCAACCTTTATATCAGTACTGCTGCGACTCGGCAATCCTACAGGCTCAATAACAGCCCCGATAGCCGTACCATTGCCCGGCGGCTTTCCAGCTGCCCTAAATTCCCTCGACAAGAACTAAATCCCCACCGTGACCATGCAAGATGAGGCGCTGATGGCACGATTTGATCCCGGAATCTCCTCGGCCGGCGGGGACGTTAGCAGCGGCCGCACCATCCAGAAGTGCTGGGCGAGAAGGCGGTATGGGGGGAGATGCGGAGGCGGTGGCGAAACAGGCCGAGATGCCATGCGCGCGTGTGTGCACGACAGCGGCGGCGACACGGCGGAAGCGGCGGCGATACGGCGTCCAGCGCGGGGGGCGGGAGATAAGAGCTCTTGTCGCTGTGGAACGCTCACTTCTTACTCACGGGGGGCCCGACAACACTGACCGGGGGGTCAACTGTGGATATCACTACCATACACATACCAAACAGGTTGCTTGTCGCCCTCTGATGGCCCAACTGCCGGGGCCAAGGCGAGCGGCATGGAAGGTGCAACAACAAGAGGGCCGCTCACAGCACTCACTCCGTATTGGTACGCACCGCACCGCCGCCACAACCCGCTGGTAAACAGCAAACACATTACTCTGATGCTGCGGGTACGTCGCCAATGATCACAAAGCTAAGCGCACGGACTACTCCTCCTCCTTCCCCCAAAACCAAACCAGTCCCACGAAACCCATAAAAGCCCCCAGTGGAATGCGGTGTAAGGCAAACACCACCTGCGGCACCGGGGTAACGCGACGCTGAATCCCGCCTTGAATGGTTCGCACGAGACCACCAAGGAAAAGGAGGGAACGGATGGGACGGGACGGCATGGGGCCCCGGGATGCGATGTCAACCCACGGGCCCCACCGGCAGACCGGCACTCTCTGGGCGCAGCAACGCGCACGGGAAACCCCCTAGGAACCCTTACGAGGCGCTGGAGGCGCTCCCCCCCCTTTCCTCCCGGGGCGCACCGCTGAGCTGCGCCTCCAGCTCCGCCACTCGCGCCTCCAGCCGCTGATTCACGTCCTGTGCCACCTTGTTGGCTCGCTCCTGCAGGCAGATGACACACACACGCACGCACACACAATATCACAAATAATTGGTTGGTGGACTCCAGGTGCCCTCGTTGTCAGCAGTCAGTTCTAGCCCCCCACCCTCACCCCCCCCACCACCTAGTCGCCCTTTGCCCCTGTAGCACTGTGGCGCGTGTTTCTACGGGCTCTTGACAACGTCGGCTCTTCTTCTCATCAACATGCACGCGAAGAATCCAAGCAGCTACGGCCACAGCTTTATTGGAAAATCCTAACAGAACGCTGGACTACGGATCTCCCTCTCCGGTATGAAGCCCAACATAGCGGCTCCGAACATGCAGGGGATCCTCAATCGTCAGCCTCCCCTCCCCTCCCCTCCCTCCCCCAGGGGCCCCCGGCCCCACCTGGGCTTCCAGGCGGTCCCGCACCACCTCGCTCTGTGCCGTCACTCGCTCCTCCAGCACCCGACCGAACATGGCGGCGTCGTGAACCGCCTTGGCGGTATTGGCCGCCAGCGCCGCCTCCAGCGCAGCCGTCTTGGCGGCTTGCACGGCGCTAACCTCCCGCTGGGCTTGCAGCTGTTTGTGTGTGGGTGGGTGTTGGGGGGGGAGATGGCGTGGTGTGTGTGGGGGGGGGGGGCTAAGCGGAGCTGGCAAAATGCAAGGGAAAACGTTTATTGCTGCACATACACACTTCGGCTTGTTCTCGTATATCACGGCCCAGATCAATCAAAACACACTTACACAAAGAAACCATTAAAACACAGCGTTTCCTTGATTACATGCGTCAGGACTAGTGCCCTGGTTTGAGGTTTCCTTTGGCGGGGAAAACCAAGGAGGGGTGTGAAAGACAAAGGCAAATGCAGTGTTACCGCAAAGGCACCTCAGCACAAGTTACGGACCTGCTTCTCCAAGTCGTCGTGACGCAGCTTCTGATCCCAAATCCGCTTCTGCTGCACCTCCACCGCCTGAGACAGCGGCATCACGTTGGCGACGGGACCTGCCGTCGGCGCCGCCCCCGCCGCGGCAGCGCCCGTGCCGGCAGCACCTGCGGCACTGGTGCCCTCCAGCGGGCCGCTGCCGGTGCTGCCGCCAGCCGCACCCTCACTGGCACCGCTGGCGGCAGCGCCGCCATCAGCCACTCCATCCCCATCGTAAGGAAGAAATCCCACACCGTCGCCGCCTGCCAGCCCATCCCCCGTCACGTCGCCGGCTGGGCCGGACGGCGTCGCCCCCACAGGACCGCTGCCGCCGCCGCAGCCGCCGCCGTCGCCTCCGAGCAATCGTACATTTCCGTACGCTTCTGTGAGAGCCTCCATGGAGCGCTTCAACGCGGTGTTCTCCTCCTTCAGGCCCTCGACCTCCCGCGCCAGTGCCGATATTCGGCCAAGCTGCCCCGCCATCTCGCTGAGCAACGCAGCCGTGGTGCCGCCCAAGTGCTGCGGCAGCGGCCGCGTAATGCCGGCAGGCAGCAGATTCCCTGCGGCGTCGTAATTGGTCAGGCCGCTGCTGCTGCCGCCGCCGCCGCCGCCGCCGCTGGCGCCACCGGCGCCTGGTTGCGTCAAAGTCAAACCGGGAACACACGGTGTTCTCACCACGGGACGTACATACATGCGCGTGCTGGAATATTCATGCGCGCACTGGCATTCACTCATGCGTGCATGCAAGATGCTGTTATTCCCCAGACATTTACTCCCCAGACCAGGTCCTACACCAACAAACAGGTTGGTGTATTAGCTGTACAACTGACCCACATGGCCATACTTGACATGCATGATGAGTGAAGACGTGCGTGTGTGCGCGGGCCGTCGAAAAACTACGAACATCACCAATTGGCAAGTTGCTGCCCTCTCCCCCCCAACACCTTGCCGGCGGGTCCCTACCAGGCCGCCACGCTTCTGACACCATCCGTCCGTCCGTCCGGTTGATTGGCTGCTCCCATACATACCGGTCTTCCCCCAATAGATCCGCTCTACTGCTGTCTTAACCCCCCGCCATAACCCGCCCTCGCACCGGGGGGATTCGTGGCGAACAGGGACGTGGGAGCTGACTGCTGCGGGCCCTGGCCCTTCAATAGCGCCACCGCCACCGCCTCCACGCCTGACGGCTCTAAGTCGCATCGGCTCCGCTTGTTATTGGACTTGCTCATGCCGCCGCTGCCGCTGCCCAAGCCTCCCCCTGACACCGTTCCCCCTCCGGTGGCGGCGGTTGAGCCGTTGCCGTTACCGTACTCCGAATCCGCCACCATTGGGTCATTGTGTTCTGTCGATGACGCTGACGGGGCAGTATTGGTGCTATGGCTGTTACTGCTTTGCAAGGGCTGCGACGGCGGCTGCTGCTGCTGCTGCTGCTGCTGTGTCACCTCTCCGCCACACGGCTGCCCAACTTGGATGCCGCCCAAGCTATTCGATCGACCACTGCCCTCGGCGGTGCCGTCGGCGACGATGCCGTCGGCCACGCTTCTGCCGAGCGCTGCTTGGTTGGGCAGCGACGATTGCTGACTCAGGGCGACGAGCATCTGCTGCCCAGGCTTCAGGTACTCTCCGACGAGCTGTTCGAGACGAGAGAGGCCGTTTCCACCCGCGCTGGGCGGCAGCAGGGGTCCCAGCTGCTGCGGGCCCCGTGGCTGAGAAATTTCCGTCTTAATACCCGGCACGGGCGGCGGTCCCGGCGGGGGAAGGGGTCGAGTAAATGCACTGCCTGGTGAGGGCGCCACTGACAGTGGAGGGCCCTGTTGCTGCTGCTGCTGCTGCCCAGAGAGCACAGGCAACGGCTGCAGACCTCCTGGACCGGATCCGAATGCGGCTGCTCCGGAGACAGCAGCGGCGCTCCCGGAGGGCGAGGGCGACGTGAAAAGCGGCAGCGTGGCAGCTATGCCCAAATCGAGGGGGAACGGGGGCGAGAGTGAGAAAGGAGCGCCAGCTGGCGCTGCCACGGCTGGCAAGCCGGAGGAGCCATGACTGTGCAAGGTATTAACGATAGGGATGGGCACAGGTGCAGAGGCGGCGATACCAGGAGGGGCTGTTACGGTGCTGGGGGCTGAAGATGGGTCCGGTATCTGGGCGGCGGCCTGGAATGGGTGAGTCGGCAGAGCACAGGGCCCGGGCTGCGGCTGCGCAGCTTGAGCAGAGCTCGAGCTGCCACCAGCAATGCCTGTACCAGCGCTGGTTCCAACGGATGCTGCAACTGCATTGCTGGAAGCTGGTTTACGGCGGTGAATTGTGAGGAGAAGCTCCTTGTTGTACTGCTGGAAGTGCTCGTTTGCGAACTCCCAGCGGTCTGGATCTACCTTGCGAAAGCCCTAAGAATTGCAATGGGAACATAAAAAAAGGTGTGGCGAAGCAGGGCGAGCCTGGATAGAGGTTTTCTCTACCGGTAACAACAAGTTCGCCTTCGTAGGCAACGACTTATGCAACCAAGGACCAAAATGTGCACATAGACTTACATAGGTGTTTAACTGCCTCACAAATGACGAGAAATTGTTGTGCTTGAAGTACTGTGGTAGCAGGTTCGCCGCAAACTCGGAGGGCTTCCACACGACAAAACTGCGGGGGAGCATCCCAGCACAATTTTTGCAAAGTCCACGATAGCTATTTCTAGCAAATCACCCAGGACCGTCGTCCCCAAAGGTTGAATCCGAAGCAAGCAAGGCAGTTCCTGCCTCACCTCTTCCCCTGTGGGCCCCAAGAGATTACATGATTCGTTGTAGGATCATCCACTAGGTCATAACTGCGAACATGACACACAATTCTTTAGATTCGTTGGCCGATAAGAGGAAGGATGGATTCCCCAGCAACAGAAGTTACACCGAAACTGGATGCAGCCTACGTTTTGCGCAAAAATGGAGCTGGCTGGCCTTGATTGCCACCTTGCTGGCCCCTGGCAGAGTGCCCTTCTCCTGTCATCTCCGGTCACTACATTGCGGACTGCTTCCAAAATGTTCGATTGCAGAAATTCATGCTCTGGTGCGGTTTATTAAGATGAGAAATATCTGTTATCATGATGCATCTCATGAAGAGCAGAATTTTTAATCAGGCGCGGAGTGTTTCCAAAAAGAAAGTTCTTCCGTACGACAAGAAAGCCTGTTAACTGTCGTTAGACGCTCATTTCCATTGTCATTTCTGTAATAACAAATTTCCCTCCGCTCAGGAGAGGGACGCATGAAAAGGCCTCAAGAAGGACAAGTATGCACAGTTAAACTTCTGGTACACTTTGCAAGAACCCAGCCCTGAGTTAGAATTCGGCAGGCGCACTAGCGCTGTGGGCTTTAGCAGAAGCAACTGCCAGCTTGTACAGGTCGCAACAGGTATTGCTCGACGCTTCAGTGGAAGCTATGAGCGTCCCTATCTGCCCGACTCATAGCTCAGCTGGAAGCCACAAGATCATTATGTGATGTCAGCCACGATATTCCCAGCGTGGGGCAACTCATGTCGGTAGTCTTACGGATAAGTTGGAGGCGGCCTTTATGCTGGAGAGGGGAGGGGCGTCAGTCAAGGCAGGGAAATAAAACTGATTGAACTTCTAACATGGATCCTCAACTTCTCAACAATGACTCGAAACCCAGAGTTGCAATGGGGAGCACATAGGGAGCACCGGCTGTCGAAATGCATTTCTCTTCTTTCACATCTCTACGGTTGCACACGGAGACCTAAGTTCACGCTGCCCCTGATGATCCCAGATCCGTCCATGGCACGTGCCAATACACCAGTCATTGACGTCGGTGGATCCTCTACAGCATTTACGGCCCATTCCGGCATGGCAAGCCCGAATTCCTATGCTAGCAAGAATGCGTTAAGAGGCAATCGCAGCCCAAACACCAATACCTACCCGGGCATACCTGGGAACACTTTGTCGTACAGTTAAGAAGGGCTTGGTACGTACGTTTGCGGCGAGAGTCAATCACAATGCCCTTGGGTACGGACGACGATCCATTTCCGAACGCTTAGTATGTGGCATAATGATTCTCCCTGCCCTCTGTACTCAGAGGCCCAGGGGTCTCCCACAGGGAAAATAAAGCGATCTGTCTCAAAAATGTAATGTATCGTATGTTGAAATGGAACATTGATCCGCGTTGGGTCAAGTTATGGGCATGCAGAAACATCATTGGGCCGCGATGTACGGGACGACTTCGAACTTTTGCTTTTGTTTGCAAACCCATTCAGTCCGATGTATCTATTAAGCGGAAGCTGCATAATGGTTGATATGTTGTTACATGGCGTGTATAACGCCTAGATATGGCCGCGACTGTCCGCCATGACAACACCGGAAATTAGAACCTTGACCTATTGCTTACACAAATTAAGCTTAAGGCTTGGAATATAGGTCTCATTCAAAATGCCGGGGAACGGCTTGGACCAGCAGTCGTCTGCAACACTTGCGATGGCTTACGGCGTGCTATCGCGGGAGCAGCGTAAGCAAACGTAAGCGGCTTGACATGAGAAACTCATACTTGGTAATAACTTGCCGTATGCGCTGGCGAAGGCATGACACTTGGATGTCGCGGTCTTTAAGAAAGCGGATGGTATCCAAAGGAATTTTAATATCATGTGACGCGCACTGCATACCTGCTGTTAGGGTTTGACGTCGACCAGTTCACCGCCTTTTCAGCAATACATGTGCCGGACACCATCCTGGGGAAGGGGAGAGGTGTGTCAGCATCTGCCTTCTGACCTGCCCTGCAGATTCGGGTTGGACTGTCCTGAGCAGCTCGAATGGCGGCACTGGAACCCGGGGACAGAATACATAAAGCAGCTCGTGATAAAGAATGTCAGCACATCCGTCCTGAAGATGCGGTATAAACAGCCGAGTAGCAAAGCATTCTCGATGGAGTTCCCCGAACCCTTCAAACTCCGCCCGGGAATGAGCCAGCCGCTGAAGGTACGTGCTGCCAAACTGGGACGCGATGTGGACTGCGATGCCCTCGGGTTTGGCCCTCACCACCAAGGGCACATGTTGCCGTGAGTTTGAATCACGTACTCTTCGGACTCCCAGAAGACCGGCGGGCCTACAAACGGTGCTTGATAGCCTGCTTGATAGTTTCCTCCCACCCCATTACCGCATCCTCAGGTGGTCTTCCGGCCCCTCAAGATGCAGCACTACACGGACAACATTGAGCTTTTCGTGGGGAACTCGTCCTTCCTGGTGCCCGTGCACGCCTACACGCCGGTGACCCACATCGAGGTGAGTCCACTTGCGGCTTGTGTCGGTCTGGGTTGGGGTTTTAAGGTTCGGGGGTTTTCCAGGGGGAAAGGCTTGGGGGTTGGGTTGGACACCGCAACACGTGCGCCAGGAGCAGCTGGTGGGGTTCCGGCGCAAGGAGCTGCAATTGTGCAAAACGAACCGCAATCTTCTCTCTCTCTCTCTCTCTCTCTCTCTTCCCGCTAGCGCTCACAGCAGCCGTTATAACAGCAGCATAATAACAACAAGAAATGCAGCTGCAGCTGAAACCACAATGTTCGCAGTGGGAGATCGGAGGAACTCGAGCGAGGAGGAGCGGTTTGAGAAGGCTGCGGCCCCGTGCTGGCAACGGTGTCCCTGCCATTGCATGTACATCTGCATGTACATCTGCATGTACATCTGCATCTGCACTACCGACGCAGTTCTCCGGTGACGTAGACCAGGGGAGAACCAGGACGGCAGCTGCCGTCGGCACCAGCAATAGGGACCGGTGGCTACTGCGGTGAGAAAGTAGCAGTGGCGGCAGTAGCAGCAACAGCAACAATAACGTTGGAAGCGCATTCCTATGAACATACATCCTGAGCCGATGTTTTGGGCTCCTTGGGTGGCCACCGGGGGGTTATGGAGGGGAGGGGCCGAGCGGTTGTCAGCTATGGTCAGCTAGTCAGGTTGCTAGAGTGGGGGCATCGCCGCCGCGGCTGAGATCACTATCTTGGCACTGTGACCCTCGGGCCTCGGTACCGTCGTAAGGCGCCGCGGGGTGCCGCAAACCCTGACATGGTGACGACCGTAACCTCCTAGACGCCGTGAGGGCAGTAGGGGCGACGACTGCGTCAGATGGTGGCGGTGATAGTGGTCGCGGTGATAGTGGTGGTGGCATGCATTGCGGCAGCCGCGGCTCTGGTTGCAACAGTGTCGGCCTCTTTGCGGGGTGCGCCGCCGATTGGCGGCCGCAGCCTCTCTGGGCCGCAGCGTCTCTGGGCTCCCAGTCCCGCAGATCTCCCGCAGTCCATTGCCAGAAGAAAAGGCCATAACACGGCGAGCAATGGCCCGGGCAGGTGCCACCACCTGCCGGCACGATCAAAGGAACGGGCACGACGCTGCTGCCGTTAGCTCCCCTAGGTGGGGGCCTCCCCAGCCCGCGTCAGCTTGGAAGGGAGAGGTGCTGAGCCGCTTCCGATCGAGCACTGGATTAGGTGTGGGCATGGAGCCGCTAAGGCTGAGGCGCTCAGAGGGCAGGCGGACGTGGTTAAGAAGGCTGTGTGTCCGCTGGCTGCTGCGTCCGACCCGACCCTGGGAAACACGGCGGGTGATTGCACTTGACGTCCTTCCGACTCCACACTAACCCAGCCAGCCCCGCACAACACCCCACCCCACCCCCCGATGACCTGCATTCCCCTGACCTCCTAGGTCCGCGCCCACGTTCCTTTCTTCTTGCCCGCAGGTACCCCCCACCCTGGACTTTGGTTTCACACCCACAAAGGAGACCGTCACGGCGCCGTTGGTGGTCAAGAACTCGGGAGATGTGCGCGTGGATGTGCTGTGGCGGCTGGAGGCGCCCTTCGCCATCAGCCCTGCGGCCGCCAGCTTGGCGCCTGGGGAGGCGCTCTCCTTCAGCGTCGCATTCACGCCACCGGAGGCGTGCTCCTACACCGCGAATGCGGCGTGTCAGCTGGAATCAGGCGCGGCTGCGATATGCAAGGTGTGCGCACATGTGTGGGCAAGGCCGGGAGGTGTGTGTCGTGTGTGTATGTGTATGTATGGTGTGCAGCGAGCGTGCTACCAAGTGGAGTAAAAGGTGAAATTCAGGAGCCCGGCAGGGGGCTAATCCTCGGGGGGTTCTTTCGAGCCGTAACGAGGCCACCCAACCCATCCAAGCCACTCCACTCCCCAGAACAATCCACCACGGCCTTTGTCTCCCTTTCTATGCGGCCCTTTTCCTCCTTCCGCCCTCCCTCTAAGCCGATGTGATGGCTCCTACCGGGGATTTTCCTTTCCCCTTCTCCTCTGAACCCCTATGGCCGCCTTCCACTCCCCTTCCAAAACCCCGGGCCCGCCAACCCCTCCGGCCCCAGATCTCCGGCATCGGCAAGTTCCCGTACCTGTCCGTCGAGCAGGCCGGTGTGGATTTTGGCCCGGTGGTGGTGGGGCAGCGAGTGGAGCGGGTGGTGCGGTTCGGCAACCACTCCATGGTGCCGGCTAACTTCACCGTGTCGCACGACCCGGAAGGTCCGGATGACGGTGTATTCACGATAGGGCCTACCAGGTGCGCCGGAGTGCATGTGTGGTGGTGGGGGGGGAGGATGAAATTTGGGAGGGGGAGAAGAACGTGCTGTTAGTGCTGGTGCTGGTGCTATTGTTGCCAGATGGGGGATGTGGGGGTTTGCGGTGTTAAGGAAAAGGTGATGAGGACTTTGTGGTGGTGTGGATGGGCAGTGCCGACTATGGGGGAAAGATGGCGGGTGTGGGACTTCACGGGAGACAGGCATGAGACTAAGGCATGGCCGCAGCGCACATACAGACGCACGCACTAAGTCATCGCGGTTCAGATCCTTAAGAAAAAAACACGCAGTTGACGCACACCATGCGGCAGAACGGGCTGAGGGCTCATAACGCGCGCCTTCTCTTCGGTATTGGTGACTTGCTATGGTCCTCAAGTGTGTTTCTTGTGTCTTGTACAACTTTTTTTTATTAAGAGTAAGGTGGCAGATACTCTATTGTATGCCCTGATTCTATTTCTTGCGCAGAGGCACGCTGGGCCCCGAGGAGTACAGCGTGCTGCGCGTGTCATACACGCCGCGCAGTACGGGCACCTTCAGCTCCGAAAACTTCCACATCGGCACGCTGGGTGGCAACACCATCTCGCTCAACTTGCGCGGCACCGCGGTTGCGCCCATCATCACCCTCTCCGCTCGTGCCTTCAACTTTGGCAACGTCGCCGTCGGCGCCTCCGCGTCGCGGGTGCTGTACATCCGAAACCACTCTGCCGTACCGGTGCCGTACGATTTCCAGGTGGAGCCGTTGGATGTGTTTGCCATCAGCCGCGTTCGTGGGGTGTTGGCGCCAGAGGCCACGGCGCACGTGACGATTACGTTCCGGGCTGCCGTACCTGCCAACTATTGGCGCCGTCTGGTGCTCATGCTTAAGGACGCCGACCCGCAGGTACGACACGTGAATCCCCCTCCCTCCCCTTTCTGCCTCTGTGTCTGGGTATGGGTATGGGAACTAAAAGGAGTGTGAAAAAAGTGTTGAATGATCAATGAGTTTTGAGGATGAAAACACCGTGGTCACGAACGCGACGGGGATACATTTAGCTGAGAAATGATAAGCACTGCGCATTAAGGACTGTGATGGGGGTTTTAATAACTTCACTATTAAGCCCCCAACCCGCCCACGCACTTTCCCACACTGAACCACTCCGCACTGCTGCATCACACACCAGGGCATCGACTTGGTGGCCACAGCCTACTCAGACAAGTCCCGTCCGCCGCCACTCGCCCACCGCCACATCGACCGCTACCTCGCCCGCGTCTCCGCTGGCGGGGAGCCCGTGGAGGAAATCCACCTCCTCACCGCCCCGCCGTCTCTGGACGTCGGAGGTGGCGGAGGGGGAGGGGGAGGTGCAGGTCCTGCGCTAACCTTGCCGCCGCCGGTTAGCGCGGCAGACCTCACCGTCGCCCTCAACAACGCCCTTGGCGGCGGCGCTGACGGCGCCGCCGCTGAGGAGGGCGGCAGCGCGGCGCGGCTGGTGGGACCGGATGGCTGGCCTCTAATGTTTTTCGGGCAGGACCCCGCGGGCGCGGTCGTGGTGGACACCGATGCTCTGGAGTTTGGATCCTGCTCCCGACTGAGTGCGGCGGAGTATCGGTCCGTGACGGTGACCAACCGGACGCCCGCGAAGCTGACGGCGTTTGTGGTGGTGCCGGATTGGATTGATCCAGGGGCGGCGCCTGGTGAAGCGCCGCGGCCAGTTTTCCAGGCAGGTGTTGGGGTGACAGGGGTTTTAGTTAATAATTTAAATACTGATCGATTAATTATGTGCTAATGATAATATTAGGTATTATTTAATCATTATTCTATTATTTTATTAGTTATTGCATTACTCATGGAGTGAATTGAATTAATTACTTGATTAGGTGTTAGGGTGATAATATGTTTTAACTAAACCCCCGGTCTTTACGTTAGGCCAGGGCATCTGGCCAGTGTCAGGCCCAGTCAGACACATAAAGATCCATACAGACAGACAGACAGACATATGGCCCTGCCGTGCAGGTTTTCCCCGAGTCTGCGGACATTCGCTCCCACGGCCAGGTGACCTTCAAGGTGGCCTTCCGACCCCCCCGTGACGGGGCTTTCTTCGCACAGCAGCTGCTGCTGGTGGCGCACGTGAAGAGCCAGAGGAACTTCCGGTGCGTGCGGCGGAAGACGAGGAATGCGAAGTCATGGCAGCCCTAAGGCGTCTAAGTGTCTCTCTGTCTGTCTCTCTGTTTGCCTGGCTGGCTGGCTGGCTGGCTGGTGGCTGGCAGTGTGAGGGATCCGTAGGCGGGTGTGTATGTGTGTGTGGGGGGAAATATGTCTCCATGGCTGGGCAGCTTGACAATGCGCCTTTTAGGTGGTTAATAGGACAACGACCCTGGTTGGGAAGTTGTTTTCTTTTCCTGCCACATTCTTTACCTTTCTTGCCACACCCGCCAGTCCAGCCCCAATGCTGTAGTATCCCATGACAGTGTTTGTGATACTGGTGCTGATGTCGGCTGTGACGTGCCACCTATCCATTCTCCGTGTTTGCAGGTTGGTCACCGAGCACCAGATGCTCCCCTCCTGGTGTGTTGAGCTCAGGGCCACCGGCAACACCTTCCTGCACTGCAACCCCGAGTTCAGCCCCAAGGTACACCTCATCTCAGCCCATCCCTAACCTCGCTTTCCGCTTTCAATATTCTCCTCCTCCTCCTCCTCCTCCTGCCGGTATCGCATTTTTAAACTGGCCTGTCTGTCCCAAATTCGTTAGCCCGCTTTTCCTCTCCTTCCGCTCTTTCCTTTCTTTTTCTCTTCTGGAAGATTTGCACAGACAGACAGACAGACAGACAGACAGACAGACAGACAGACACTTACACCTACTTTTTCTGTTCTGCAGGTGGAGTTGTCCACACGGCAAGTCTCCTTCCCGCCGTGCCGCCCCGGGGAGTCCGTACACCAGACACTGCTCATCGCCAACTCGGGCGACACCCCCGTGGCCTTCAACTTCGGGTCGGCCGCAGTGCTGAAGCCGCTGTTCGCTGTACGGCCGCAGGCGGGAGTGGTGCCACCAAAGGGACATGTGCTGGTGGGTGCTTCCGTTCCCATCCGCTCGTTTGCCCGCCTACCTGCCTACCTGCCTACCTACCTGCCTGCCTGCCCATAGCGCTCAAGTGCCCTCCGAGGGGTTCGAGGGATTTGAGGTTTGGTCCACCCGCCAGGGGACGGTCTCGCCCGTGTGCCCTTACCTCTTCTGTGTTTGTCCCTCCGTCCCCTTCATGTCCTTCCCCCCCTCCATGTCCTTCCCCCCCTCCAAATAATGGGCCCCCAGGTGGGTCTCCGCTTTAGCCCCACTGACACTCGTCCCGCCGTCGCCACTGCGCTGGTTACCTTCAACGGTGTCGCCTCCAACGCCGTGTCGCTGGCGCTGCGGGGATGCGCGCACACGCCGCGCCTCACCACCGACCTCCCTTCCTCCACCCTATACTTCAGGTACGTGGTCCGATTCTTGGGACGCTCCCACTCCCACAGCTCTTCTCGGGGAAGCCAGTCTTCTTCCCCGGGCTCTTCGTGGGCTAGAGGGAGATAGATATTATTCCTTATTTATTAATTGTTATTTAGTAATAATTTTAGATATTATTTTTATTTATTTTAATAGGTACATATTGTTTATTAAGAGCGGCACGGGGAAAAAGATTTGCATTTTAGGCAATACACAAGCATCAGGGAGCCGTCCTTGGTCTATAGCTACAGCTTCTACGAATCGTATGAGTGCCATTCAGCGGGCATTGGGCCCCCTCTCCCGCTCAACTGCGCCCCTCCCCAAAGCCGCCCCAGCCGTTTCGCCATCACTTTACATCATATGCATTAATTTGAGCCCCAACTGAAGCGCTGGTTTCCCGGACAGTACGGGTTAGGGACAGGAAGGGGTGGAAGGCTTACCGGCGCTCTCATCCCCCCTATCGCGCTCATCCCGAACCTACTTTGGCAGGCCCACATGCGTGGGCGCCTCCAGCCAGCGGGCCATTGCCCTTCACAACCCCAGCCGGGTGCCCCTGGACTTCCGCTGGAAGCTGCCCGCCAAGCTGGCCGGCATGGTCAGCGTCACACCCTCCTCCGGCACACTCCGCGGAAACGAGAGCGTGCAGCTGCTCTGGTCCTTCGCTCCCGCAGCACAAAAGGTGTTCGAGGGGCGCGCCACGTGTGTAGTGCTGGCACCGGACGGCGGAGATGGCGCTGGCGGCGGCGCCGGCTTCGCCGGCGCCGGCGGCTTCGCCGCCGCAGCTGCCGCCGAAGGCGGCGGCGCCGCTGATAGCGGCGAAGCTGCGGAGACCGACGGCGTGTCGCTTACCCTCGTTGGTGAGGGTACTCAGGGCGCAGTGGCGTTGGACCCGCCTGCGTTGGAGCTGGGGGATCTGCGTGTGGGTCACCCGGTACGGCGGCCGCTGGTACTGCAGAACGTCAGCGACGGTGTACTGCGGTACAGCTTGGAGGTGGTGCCAGCGGATGACGACGAAGCGCCGGTGAGCACTTTCTGCTACATGCGTAGCTCCATGCGTAGGCATCTTTTTTGTGGAAAGGTGTTGGGTAGCGGGTGGGTGCGGTTTTGGAGAGAACCAAGCCGAGAACGGGGGACGGCGAGGATGATGGTGGCTGCAATAATGCCTTTTTGGGTTTCCTCCAATCCCGGCAGGCACTCGACGCCAACGCCTGCGACTTCACGGCGGGTCTTGATGCGGCCATCACCACCGCTGCCGCCGCCGTCGCGGCTGGTCTGGAGTGCTGGGTGGATGAGCCCGAGGGCGCCCTGCCCGCGCGAGCCTCCAAGACCGTAACCGTGACTCTCTTCCCCCGCTTCCGCAAGCGCTACAGCCTGCAAGTCCGTTGCCGCAGTAGCACCGTGTCGCCGCTACTGGCCGGACCCAACAACAGCCGGCCGCCGTCAGGCGGCCGCGCCAGCCTCGGCGCCGTCGGCGACGCCGCCGCCGCTGATGCTGCCGCCGCCGCGGCAGCGGCGGCACCCCCCGTCATCGCACCCCTCACCGCGGCCGTCACCTTCCCTACACTCGAAGTCACGGACGTGTACTGTGAGAGCCAACCTAAGCAGCTCCTCTGGCAGATGCTCGGCCTCAACGACCTCAACCACCATCTCCGTACCGAGGTAACCGCCACGGAGGTCCAGCTACGCGCCGCCCACGACCGCGGGACGCTCACCACCGAAGCCGCCTGCGCCGCCATGCGGCCCTTCCCCATGGACTTTGGCACACACGGTCTCGGAGCCGCGTCGCGGGTAGTTCACCTGGAGTTCTCAAACCCCACCCCGCTACCCGTCCACTGGCAACTCCACTCCTTCGACGACCCAGACGGCGTCGAACTTGAAAACTGGGTCGAGCAAGGCCGGCCGCGGACCGAGGACGAGCGTGTACGAGATCTGATTTCGGAGCACAAACTGTTCGAGATGCGGCCGCGAAGCGGCTCCCTGGAGCCCGGGGCCAAGGGGACCATGACTGTGGAGTTCCGGCCCCGTGTGGAGGGCGTGTTTGCTCTGCCCGTGTTCTTGCACGTGACGGACGGGAAGCGGCTGCGGTTGCAGCTTGAGGCCCGTACGACATCAGAGCCGCGGCAGTTGCTGGCGCTGCCGCCGCCGCTGCGCGTCTTCCGCCTGGCGCCGGTGGCGTTGGGGGACCCGGCGCCGCCGCTGCAGATGTACACTCTTCGCTGCGGCGGCCCGGGGGCGTTACGCTGGCGGTTGGACACCGGGCCGCTGGATGCGCTGGCGGCGGAGAGCTGGGGTCACCGGGTGGTGGACTTGGTGGGGCCTTCAGACGGGGAGATTCCGCTGGGCGGTGTGGCGGCGATTAATTGGCGGTTCTCGCCGCTGGAGGTGAGGTGACCCTCAGCTGGTTAACCAGGCAGAAGCGCGCGCAGCGGTGGACAGGAAGGGGGAAGGGAGAAATGACATTGCAGCCATTGCCGTTGGATTGCCGTACATTCGCCGCCATTGTTGTTAAATTGCCGTACATTGCCGCCACGTAGGCCAAGGAGTACTCGGTGCGGGTCCCGGTGCTGCTGGGAGACGGCACCATAGAGCTGATCGAGCTGGTCGGCCGCGGTTTTGCGCCGCCGCCGAAACCGCACCACGGTGCCGTACGTGCCGTGCCCATCGCCGACGGCGCCGCCACCACGGACACCGGCTTGGAGGCGGACAAAGCCGCGATGGCGGCGGCCGCTGCTGCCGCTGCTGACCGCGACTGGGCGACTTGGCGGGGCCTCAGCGCTGCTCCCAGTGCGGGCATGGCGGGACGGCTGGCCTTCGTGGATCATGACATGGTGTCTCTGGGGGTGACGCCGCTGCGGGTGAGGACCCGCACGTGGCAAGCGAGTAGGCCCTCTCTCTCTTTCTGTCCAATTTAAAAACGAGAGAGAGAAAGAGAGCTTAGGAGCTGCGGAAATTTTTCAAGTCTATGGGAGGCGGGTGATCGGTGAGAGAGGTCACCGGCTTGTGAACCCCGTCCAGCTTTACTTCCCCTTCCAGAACTGCATCATGATGCTGGTGGTAGTAATCTAAGCTCGCCAATCCGCACTCCCGCCCTTTCATTCCACAGGGACTCACTCGCCGAGTGATAGTGCTAACCAACAAGTCCCGTTATCCTCTGGCCTTCGACTGGGACCTCGCCGCGCTGGCGCCGCCGCCGGGCGTCTCAGGCCCTCCGCTGCCCTCCGCCGACCTCCTCACCGGGCGGCCGCTGCAGGCGGCGCTCGCCATCACGCCCGCCTCCGGATCCCTGGAGCCCGGCGAGCGGCTCGTGTGTCGAGTGGCGCTCCATGCGGGCGTTACGCCGCAATTGTTTGAAGGGGAGGTGCGATGTAACGTCCGTGTGGATGAGGAGGCGATGGAGGAGGCGGCGACGGCGGCTGGCGCCGTCGCTGCCGCAGTGGCGGAGGCGGACGCGACAATGGTGGAGCGTGTGGAGGAAGTGATTGCGGTGGATCCGGTGCCGACGGGACCGCCGCAGCCGCCGCCGGCGGTGGCGGCGGCGCAGCGAGCCAGTCGGCTTCGGAGCCGCCTGCCGGTGCATGCGTACATGACGACGGCGATTCGGAACCGCATCGAACCGCTGGCGCAGCAGTACGCAGCAACCCTGGAGATGCGGACACGGCGTATGGCAGAGACGGCCCGCGGTGTGATGACGGTTCCGCAGCCGCAGACCATCTGCGTCACGCTGACAGGACGCATTCTGAACGATGAACAATTGGCAGCCCTGCGCTACGTGCCGCCACACGAGCGCCACCTGGCGCGTGCTGCCGTGGCGGAGGGTGCTTGCTGGGTGCCGCCGATGCTGACGCCGTTCTGGGCCGCGGCGGAGGCGGTAACACCATCGCCGGTGCTGCCGGCCCCGGCACTGCCGCCGCCTGCCGCAGCGGAGTCTTCATCTTCTCTGCCTGGCTTACACCACCAACACCGTCCGTCCAGTGCTGCGTTCTCGTTGGGGGGGCCGTCGGCGGCAGATTTCGCGGCAGCGTTGGCGGCGCACAGCGGCGCCTGGCCAGGGCTGAATTCAGATCCGGATCAGCCTTCATCCACTTCAGGGCTCATGAACGGTCACCACGTGCCTGACCTGGGTTTCAACCTGGCGCGCATCCGGGGCTCAGAGGGCGGTCCGGGAACGCCGGTGCTTGGATCCGCCAGGTCGGCAGGCCGTGGTGAGGCTAGCACTCTAGGGCCGTCGCCGGCAGCAGCAGCGGATGCGGCAGCCGCTACCGCAGCGGCAGCAAGGGCAGCTGCTGTAGTAGACGATGCCATGGGCGAAAGCAGTAATGATGTAGTCGATGTGACGTTTGCGAACCCGTCGGCTGCGGCGGCGCCGTCGTCGACATCGAAGGGGCCCCTGACGGAGAGTGGCGGGTCCGCGGCGGTCGCCAACGGTGAGGAAGGCGCTGACAACGAACCCGGTGCGGGTGGCGACGCCCCCGCCGCACACGCGTCCTCGTCCGCAGTCGGCATGCACTCTTCAGCGCCGCCGCCGGTGGAGCTGGTCCCGCCGCCGCTGCCGCCGCCGCCGCCGTCAGGCGGGGGCGTTGAATATGACGCGCTGGTGTCAGCACGCAACATCCTGTCGGGCCTATTTTCGGAGCTTCTCGACGACCCCGACTTACACCGTGCCTTTGAGTTCCTGCCAGAGGAGGAGATGCCTGTCTTTGCAGAGATTCGGTCGCAGACCGCGCCGTGCTACGATCCGCAAGTCCGTGCCGAGACGGCCACTGCTGCGGCGGCGGCGGTGTCGGCCCCCGCTCAGGACGGTGACGCCGCGGACTGGCAGAACCCTGCCAACCAGAAACCTTCCAGCCCCGAAACCACACAGGATGAGGCGGCTCAGCAGCAATTGCAGCAGCCGCAGGAACAGCAGCAACCGGCGGCGCCTCCCTCCCTGGAGGAAGAGCTCCAGGCAGATCCGGCGCTGCGGCGCGTGCTCGTGAGTTCGGAGTGGCAGACGCTGGCGGACTTTGTACTGGAAAGCGCCATCCTGGGCCTCATGCAGGAAAGCGCTGCGGGAGACTGGGTGATGGCCGAGGAGCAGACCCAGCAGACTCAGGACGGGTGACAGGACGCGGATGGCATGATGTGCCGCGGCACATGGCTTGGTGGCTTGGGTTGTTGGAACGCGGGAAGGGAAGGCGGTACCCTTTTTCAAGGTGTAGTGAAGTAGCTGCTGCTTGTGGATATGCGGAGTGAAGATGTAGGTCGAAAGAGTCCGCATGGTGACGATGTATACCTGCTCGCATGTGGTGAACGTGCAAGTGAAACACGCATGTACGAGCACGCGCGATTGCACACTTCAGCAAGCGTGCATGGGCATGGTGATCATGATTGGGAGCTGTTGGGGCTCTGGAGGCATTCACCTCATGGGGGGGGGAAGTGGCGCCGTCCCGGCGGCTTGCAGCGGTGGCCGCTGCGTGCGTGGGGTCGCAGTTGCAGCAGCCGCATGAGCGGCGGTCATGTGGACGGCGGTATGGAGATTTTGGTTCCGCTGCGGTGCCGTGTGATGGTGCGGCTTGTGGTGCGGGCCACGGTGATGGGCTACGGCAGTGGGCTACAAACGGCGATAGAGGCGCAGCGAGAAGGCTGAGCACCTAGTGAAGTGATGCATAGTGAAGCGGTTGCGACCTTTAAACGTACCTTTGGGCAGAAGGTTTGGAGGAATTTGGGAGGGCGTAGACGAAAACGAGGAAACGGTACAGTGACGGGCCAGTGACGGGCCGGCATTGGCACTCCTATGCTAAGTCAGACGGGAGGAAACGCTTTTGTCTCTGCGCCCTTGACTTCACTTTTGCGAGCGCTGATGGCGTGATGTGGTATTCGGTAGCAGGAGCTTAGGTGAGGGTTTTGGGGGCCGGATGCAAAAGGACAGATTTGCGGACCTGAAACGCCGCGTTTACCTGTTGAAGCCTCCTGCTTGTGCAGCTGCCTTTTGCCCACAGCAGCCTTTTGCCCAATTTCTTACCATCTACGCATGCGAAATGCTGAGCGCTGTCTATTTTTGTCCCCAAGCTTTGCGAACGTAATTGCAGGGAAAGGTGAGGGGGTAGGGAAAGGGAGACGAAATGCGTTATCGGCAGCACAGCAACAGCTTCAATTTCCTGTCTTACCGCCATGTCATTGTCCTGATCCCGCGTGCCCTACCACACGCCATATTTAAGACAGCCGGGGCTTACGTCGCCGGGGCGGAGCTACTGGACCACTCAAGACTGGACGGTGTTCCTCCACCCATGAACAGCCCCCACATGACACCTTTGCCCCCTTGGCGCCACATACCCTTCTACATATCCAGCTTTCACCCTCAGCTTCCACACTAACAATCAGGAACGAGAAATCGTGTCTGCCGCAAACGGATTGGGAGCAAGTGCCAGGCGCCCTACAGGAACCAAGCTTAATGTACAGTACCGTAAATTACGGAGGCAGTAAATCGTACCCAGGACCAGCGTCCCGGCATGAAACTATAATAATGGGCTACCGGTTGCTTGCCGGCTGCCCTGACGCCGTCGGGGGGAAACCTCGGGGGGATGGAGACGCAGCCTCGGCATCTGCACAGTGCCAAACTCCCGTCCCCCCACCCACACTTCAAACGTGTGCCCTAAAACCTTGAACCTCAATGACTCCACAGGCGTCATGTACCTGCTAGGATACGGGGACCTTGCCCAATTGCACAACCTGTTCATAACCGGCAACTCCTTCCACTCCGCTGCTTTACTGCGTAGCTCTCATTTCCTCGATATCACCGAGGGCATGGAAATCTCCTGCCTGCCTGCCTGCCTGCCTGCCAGCAACAACTGAGAAGCCATACAGAGCCTCTTCGAGACGGGCAGCATCGGTATGGTGGTGGCTAGGCACACACCGCTCTGTACCGCACACATCTGCAACTGCCTGCAGTATTTTGTTTTGCATTTAGTATACAGATTTTAGGTGTAACGTGCAAGAGCAGTTACATAACTCTCAATGCTTCTCTTCAACGGGGTTCACTCAGCTATTCTCAAGACCTTCCTTTTGCGACGTCGTACATTAGTGCGGGTCGTACACTGGATGGCTACATCTTCTCTGGTGTATCGCATCCGGTGTCTTTCGACACCACCATGACTGGTTGTGATAGGCATTAACGTAACATTGGTATCGAGACGGTGAAATTTTTCTTTCTGGGATTATGCTTTTGCGGCCATTTCTTGCATTTTATCGTCGGTCGGCTTTACCTACCGTC